AAAGAGGGGATAGGGGGAATAAGAAGAGGGAGGGGAATAAGAAGAGGGGAGATAAGAAAAAGAGGGGGTAAGAAGAAGAAGGGGTGAGTAAGAAAAAGATGGGGGAGTAAGAAGAAGAAGAGGAGGGAGTAAGAAAAAGAGGGGGGAGTAAGAAGAGGGAGAGGTGGAATAAGAAAAGGGGGAGGGTGGAGTAAGAAGGAGGGGAGGGCGGAGGAAGAAGGAGGGGAGATAAGAAAGAGGGGGGTAAGAAGAAGAAGAAGGGGTGAGTAAGAAGAAAGAGGGGAGTAAGAAGAAGGGGGGGTAAGAAGAAGAAGGGGGGTAAGAAGAAGAAGGGGAGGAAGAGGAAGAAGAAGAAGGGGGGTAAGAAGAAGAAGGGGGAGCAATAAGAAGAAGGGGGTTAAGAAGAACAGGTGGGGGAGTAAGACGACCAAGGGGGGGAAGTATGAAGAACACAGGGAGGAGGGGGGTAAGACGAACACAGGGGGTGTGAGGAGAACACATAGAGGGAGGAGTGAGAAGAGCACAGGGAGGGTGGGTGAGTGTGAGAAGAGACCGCTAGGGGAGGGTGGGGGAGAGGAGAGACCACTAAGGTGCAGGGGAGAGCTCTACGGGACAGAAGGGGCAGCTCTATAGGACAGGGGCCAAGACAGGGAGCTCTTTCACACTACGCGCGCGCACACACACACAATGCATCCCTATACATACACAGAAACACAACATGCTTCCCTTACACACAGAGAAACACACAATGCATCCATTACACACACACACACAATGCAACCCTTACACACAAAGACAATGCATCCTTTGCACACATACACAGAAACAGACAATGCAAACCCGTACACACATATGCAAACACACACACTTCTTTTCTTACATACACACAGAAACACAATGCATCTCTTACACTCAATGCACACACATACAGACACACACCTTGCAACCCTTATGCATACAAACACAGATTCACACAATGCATCCCTTACACACAACCAGAAACACATAATACATCCCTTATACACAAATACACACTGCTTCCACTACACACAAACACACTACATCACCTGCACAAACTGGTAACCCTATACACTACATACCATAAGCACACATATTAGATCCTCTACAATAACACATAACACATCCCCTACACACTCCACTCCCTGTGAGCGAACTCATGGGTGGGTGGAACTTATGAGTGGGCCTTATGGGCATACTCACCGTCAGGCCCTGGGGCCCAGACCTTGAGCTGTGTAAGGGGCCCCAAAAAATGGAGCTGCTTCCAATTCTCCCAGAACATTGAATTTTGTGACCACAGCTGCAAACAGCCTCCAGAGATCCTGTTCTACACCAGACCAGTGGAGCCAAACTGCAGCCCATCATCATCCTCATCTGCTTGTAAGTAGGCAATCTAGTATATTATTAGTGACACTAATCTATAATGTACCTCACATTAAAGGGACACTATAGCTTAATGAAGTGGTTCTGGTGTCTATAGCTGGTCCCTGCAGGCTTTTTAATGTAAACACACACTGTGTGCAGCACTGGCGTTAGTTCATATGGGTGGGGCATTGTGATGTCACATGGGGGGCAGCAAATTTTTATTTTGTCTAGGGCGGCAAAAATCCTTGCACCGGCTCTGATCCTGGGCAGGTGCACCAGTCTACTGGTGACCCACAGGAGGGGAGTGCACTGATTGCACTGCACTCTCCTCCTGTCCAGCCCCATCTTTACCGCAGTGCAAGTGCCCTCTGCCCCTAATTTACAGTGGCTCACACTCACAACAAGCAGTGCCTGGAGCCGTGAAGGAGCGGGTATGGCAAAGAGCTACTGATTAGCATAACATCAATATCCGTTATAAAACCAGGAAAAGGTGGGCATGGATGGTGAACTGATTTGGTGGTGCAATGGGCCACTTGACTGGTTTTGCCCCCCAGGCCTAAGGCTGCCAGCCCTCCCCTGACACTGGCACAGGTAAACACAGTGACATATACACAGTGACACAAAGATTTCATACAAGTACACACTGTCAAATACACACACATGCCATTTTCTATATTTGCAGTCACCCTTCTGTTAGCATACCTGTTGTCTACAGGAGGGTGACTTGCTGGCTGAGACTGGTGTGTGGGGGGAGCTGCTGTTGCCTCTCTCCCTCTAGCGCAGCGTTTTTCAAATGAAGCTGTGAGGAAATGACGGACCGTCTGTCGCTTCCTCCCAGTATTCCATACTATGGAGACCCGGTCGCTCAATTAATCAGACGCGGCGCTGACCCAGTCCCTCTGCAGCAACGCCCAACAGGCATTGGGCAAATGACTGCGGAAACACAATTTTCTCCTCCGGAAGCCTAGGCTTCCCCAGAACCTCAATTGGGAAACGCTGATCTAGACTATCCAGCTTTGCCTAAATTTTGCAATTCAGTTTCATTTCACTGCTGTTCAGGGTTTACACTAACCAAAAACAACCTTTTAATAAAACAATGTTTTTGATTGCAGTCACCCTTGCTGGCAAGCCCACCCCCAAAAAAGAAAAAAAAGTTATAATGTAAAAAGTTACCTACTATCCCATGCAGAGGCCAGTGATGCTCAGTGTCTTTCACTAATGTCATGTTGAAGAACTGTCAAAGTGAAAATTTGAACACAGAGCAGATATTGTCCCAACCAAGAGGTTGATAAACATCTGCAGTTCTTTTATTTTTTAGGGGGATTTACATGAATTTCACCCAAAAAATAGAAAACAAGCAAATTAGAAGGGCACCATATCCATTAAAAACAGTGTAGTTGGTATGCTGCCATGTCTGTTGGCACAATCCCATATATTTTTGTCAAATTGTTTGGGAGCATGTTGACACATACCAGAACTGACACAGGTTCCCATTGCTGTCCCCTCCTCAGTCGGATTGATAATACAGAATATACACTTCTACATAATCACTGTCAACTCAATGCAGACTGGACAATAACAGGCTGAGAGTGCCCCGATTCACTTGTAATTCTTCCATTAATCCCAGTTTAGTGAATAAACCAAACTATTTGTTGTAATTACTGCATCCCATATGCCATCAAGACTTTTTGTGGTCACTTGCTGTAAGCTACTGCGGTCAGCTTTGCACCAACTTATATATACCAGGGCTGTGTCATATCTGTTCTGAGTTGCTACCAATAGATCAGGGATTTTTGTGGTTTATGTGCATTTAGTGGAATATTCTGTTTATTCTAACCCGCTTTGTTTTTTAGAAGAATTGAATGCGGTTTTTTTCATTGTCCTCTCTTCCTCACTTTAGCTTTCAGATGGTTAAAAAAATGTGCTAGAATCACATTATAATGTATGTACAATCTCAAGCCGGCAATTACTTTAGTAAAGTGCTACTGCATAGTTTCACATTATTACAAATGATAATTACGCCTTAGAAAGGTAACCCTAAAACACGTTGATGAGAATGGCCGGGTCCCATGGAGACTCAGTAATGGAAATGCAAAGTGTTATTATGTGTCTGTTCCAGTAACATAACTTACTGTGCCAATTGGAGTGTGCAGTTAGTGAATGAATACATTGGACGTATTGTAAGAGAAAATGTAAAGTCCATTACTCTTTAATTGTTTCACACAAGCAATGATGGAGCAAAGGATGGAGAGGCATTAAGATGCTTGTCCCCCGTTGAGTGAACTTGGAAGATTTTAGGTTCAGTAGGTCTTATAAAGGGCTCTGCTTTTAGTAAATAATAAGTATTTTAACAGGTCATCAACCACCATTGGGTTAAGCAGCACTATATTGATTAGGAACTTGAAACCCACCATTGCAGATC